AAGGGCCATCTCTTCTTCGATTGCATGGGAGAATTTGTTCCTATGTGATTTCTCCTGGGGCTCTCAGGGCAGAATAGAAAGTTCTGGCTAGGTGAACAGCTCACGGGAAGATATTTTAGGGCAGGGTAGGCATGAGTTCCAGTTCATCTTAGCTGTTAGTATTTTCTTTACTTAAGCTTTTGTCTGAGTGTGCAACCCAGCTGAACACAGTGTGGTCTTTCTCTGGGTCACATGGCCAGTCTGTGATGGAGTTAGGGTGGAATTCCAGCTCACTGAATACTGAACTACCTTGCTTCTCAGGAAAATGTGGAGAAGACAAGACCCTCTGTCATCTGTTTCCTACCTGCCTATTCAGCCCCACCTTGCAGTTGTGTAGCTTCGTCGCTAAGAGTATAGGCTCTGGTTTCAGACTCTTGAATGTTGCCTCCCCACTTGTTAATTGTGTAACTGTGCCATATTTATTTGGCTTGTCTTTGCCTCAGTTTCTCCCTTTGTAATGGGATGCGGTGGATTGTCAATGGCCTCAAATTTCTTTGTAGATCCTCCCATTAAAGGTGGAATGTATTTTCCCCACTCCCTTGAAACTGGGCTGGCCTTGTGATTTGCTTTGATAGAATGTAGTGACATGGATGATATATGAGTTCTAAGCCTATGTCTTAAGAGGCTTTGTAGATTCTGTTCTCACTCCCAGAACATTCCTGGCATATGATGATGCTGGCTGATGTTCTCGAGGATGGAGATCCCAGCCCTTCCACCTCAAGCTGCACAGGGAATCATGAGCGCATAAGTAATTGTGTTGGTCCACTCCATTTGGTGGTGGTGGTGGTTTGGTATGTTGCAGAAGCTAACTGAAATAGTGGAGCATAATATTACCTACCTCGGGGGGTTGCTGTGAGGTTTCCATGATGATGTGCATTAGTCTACTGTCAAACACACAGTGAGCTAGTGTGGTTGTTACTCTTAACATTACCGTGAGGGCACTTACTCTTTCTTATTTGAGTTCTAGTCATCCTGACCTTTCTTTTCTTCTTCTGTATACCAAACTCTTTCTTTTCAGGGCTTTTTTTTTTTTTAAGATTTTATTTATTTTTTTGACAGAGATCACAAGTAGAGAGGCAGGCAGAGAGAGGAGGAAGCAGGCTCCCCGCCGAGCAGAGAGCCCGATTCGGGACTCGATCCCAGGACCCTGGAATCATGACCTGAGCCAAAGGCAGAGGCTTAACCCACTGAGCCACCCAGGCGCCCCCTTTTCAGGGCTTTGGTAGTTAATTCTCTCCATCTGGAATAGCCCTTCCCTGCCGTATTATCATGGTGAAAGCCTTTTCTGGGAACCACCCTTCCCTTCTTTTTCATTCTTCTTTCTTTTCATAGAGTTCAACTGTCTCATTTATCTATTTCCTTAATTACTAGCTTCCCTTCTAGGTTGTCTTCTCTTCTAGGTTGTAAATCCCCTGAGGGCAGGAGATGGGCCCATTTTCTCTCCTATTTTATCCTTGCTGCCTAACACAGTGCTGTGTACAGCAGGCACCCACTTGATCTTTTCCAAAGGAGTGTAAGGAGGCACCTGAATCAATCTGGGTTGGAGGTTGGTGTCAAGCTTCCATCAAGAGGAGGATAGCCAGGCTAGAGTTTCAGACAGAGGAGACTCTGTGTGCTTCTAATTCTTATAGCCATTTTGTTTTGTGTCACACTCTCTTGTTAGATCAGACATGTACCTGATACTCTGTCTGACAAGGTATGTGTTTCTTTTATGATAGGAACTGAATTTCTCACAGCACATAGCACATCACTAGGCATCTAGCAGGAGCTTAACAGAAGTTTATTGGATAGATAAATGGATGGACAGACTACTGAATAAATGAATGAATGCAAGAAGGGTGGATGGATGGATGAGAAGGTACTCAGAAATGCAGGCAATTATGGAAAACAATGTTTATTTTTTTTCCTCATAAAGGATAACACATTTCCAGTCAATCAGTAAAAGGTCATAAAAGTATGAAAGTGTACTAAGTACAATCATTAGCATAATGTTATAGGAAAAGTTGTTATAACCTTTTCCCTTAAGATGGCATGTTGGATGGTCACAGTTGGTTTGGTTTCAAAGAGGGGCAAGAGTAGGTGACCAGTTGTCTCAGGTGCCCCAGGATTGAGGGGTTTCCTAGGATGTGGGCCCTTCAGTGCTAAAACTTGGAAAATCCCAGGCAATCTGGGATTGTTTGGTCATGCAAGAAAGAGCACAACATCACAATGTTGGGTATGGTTTGACATATAGGTACAGTGGTCATTTTCACAAGTTTCCCATTACCTTGCTTTCCCTTAGCTCTGAAATGAAATCCCTGTGTTACTATTGAGGGTGTTACAACTTTCAAAGTGTTTACACATCCCCTGTGTATTTTTGACTTGATCCTTATGCCAAGCCTGGAAGGTAAGGCAGTTTTAACCTAATTTGCAGGCATGGCATCTTGCTTCAAGGCTCCTGGCTCCTAGAGAGTACAGAAGCAAAGACTCAAACCCAGATCTCCTGAGGCCAGTGTTCTTCCCACTACTCTGTTCTTCTCTAAAACAGCCTACTGCTCTCAATCTGGCTTGCAGGAGTGGGCGGGAATCAAATGGGGAAAGCAGAGACCCCAAGATCCAAGTTTTGGCTCAATCCTCTCATTTGGAACAATTCCTATCATTACTGCATTGCCTGCTGTGTTCACCTGCTCCTTCTCTAACAATCAGCATATAGGATTCTCCTGTTGGCCATTATTGGCATCATTATGTGGCACAGTCAGTAAAAGAGATCCAGTGTATTGGTTCCAAGGACACAATGCCTTTAAACCATACCTCCAGTTCAGGCTTGTCTGCAGAAGTTCAGAGGATGAGCCCAGTCTGTCATTTGCCAATTTGATTGTTGAGATATTTTTGTGCATCTTTGCTGAGAAGTTACTTAAGTGATAAGTCAACTTGTGGGTGGCTATGACTCTTAGGCTCAAAGACTCGTCACCCATGTTGCATCCATCACTAATATACAGGGATTTTTGCTTAATATACAGGTACTACCTTAAGGAGGAGAGGGTTCAGTAGCCTTGTCTGACTTATCCTAAAGACTAGGGATACACTATCCTTGTCCATAATAGGCCTGAATTCTCCTGATAGCCTCTTGGAATTCTATCATGCATTCTTTCATTTCAAAGTACTGTTTTGATCACTTGTACATTTTGGCATTTGTAACCTCTAGGAAAAAGAAGTTTCCATAATCCCTTAACCTCTGAAATGAGACTTTCTCTGACTCTCCCTAATATAAATGAAGCATGGGCCAGTGTCTTCCAGCTGGTAAGAATCTGGGATAAGCTTAATGATAGAGTTTAATACTGGACCTGTCCTTTGAGGTGTCCTTGTTTGGGCTTAGAGTTTCTCTATCATACAGGTTTATTCTGGGTCCAGAGGTATTAAAGTCTACCAGTCTTATATCTGAATAAGGATGAGTACTTCTATTTAAAAATAAATAAATAGCTTAAACAGTACTGCTCCAATTCTCTTGGTACTGATTGTGGACATATGGTCCTTTAGCAAAAGCTTGGGGTTTATAGTGCACCCATTCACTTTTGCATGCTTATGTTGTTGTCTCTTATACTAGCTATGGACCTACAACTCTCAGAAGTGTCTGTGATACTGAGTTCAAACCAGTTTTAATCTTTAGATGTTTTCTTTGGCTTAGAGACAGAAAGCAACCCAATTCTCTATGAATGAAAGTATTATTAAACTTGACATAATTACCACTGCAATATACTCAAGATGAAGTACCTTTGTATATGGGTCTCTTCTGAAACTTTAACTTTTGGCACAATAAGATGAGGTGATGGCTTGACAAGCTCAGAAACTTCCATATCCTGAGAGAATGCCTGCGTAGATAGATCTCTTGGAATCTTAGAAAGTTATGGCCCTGTTGTGTTGGCCATTGGCTCTACTTACCTAGAAGGTCACAGCAATGTCTCTGGGCTAAAATATTTAACAACTCAATATATTAAAAACATGGCTTTCTTATAAAAATTTTGATGGCATGATGTGCTGCCTGGCAGCAGGAGAAAGCTAGAGGTTGACTGGTTTCCAGTCCTTTGTCAAAGCCCTTGGGGCCAGCATTTTCTCCAAGGAAGTCAAGCCTGGTTCCTCCATGAAGAGGAAGATTCATGGGTTAATTAGGTCATCAACTGGGTGGCTTCCTCTGAGTTTGTACAGATTTCTGCAGGCCATTCATATGGTCATTGAACTCTGGGATCGGCGATGACTGCCCCTGCTTAAGGGCCTGTCCTCATCAATCTGTCCACCCCTTGAGTAGCCTCCTGAAGCCATTGTGCTGCTAGGCCCCAGAAGAGGGTATTCCCTGGATGAGGGTTTAGCTGAGGATTCCCCTGGGCATGGGCGATCCTTCAGATGGTCTCTGCTGCATTTCTCTCCATGTAGCACCCAATCCTCCTTGTACTTCCTCTTGGGAGGGCTAGAGCTCTTCGGGCTACTGACTCTGAAGTCTTGTTCTGGGACAGGTGGCACTGGATGGTGGGTGGGCTGAGCCTCTCCAGGAATAGAGACAGGCCTCCGTCTGCTTCTCCAGCTCTGTATTTCTGTGTCTCTTTTGTCTGTGGGGAGTTTGTCGATTTTCTGAGCTTTTAAGATCAGAGACTTCCCGTAAGTCCCTTGTAGAGATAGGAAAAAGTACCTGGTGGGAGACAACACAATAAAAGTACTTTGTTTTTTTGTGGACTTTTTGAATTTCAGGATTGGAAAGGGCCTTAGAATCCAATTCTCCACACAGGGCAAGATCCTCTTTGTTATAGTCCTGACTGTTGGCTATCAAATCTAGGCCTGGGCACCTCTGGTAATGGGGAGTTCAACAACAACAAAATATAATAGCTAACATTTATTGTGTGTCTGAGCTATCCTAAGTGTTTTAGATATTAACTCATTTCATTCTTCCAACAATCTTGTGCAGTTTGTACTTTTGTTTCCCCTGTGTACAGATGAGGAAACTGAGGCACCAAGGGATTAAGTGATTTGTCCAGAGCCACACAACGACAGAGCTGTGATCAGAACTGAGCACTCTGGATCCCAAGGCTTTTATCTACCATGTGAAGGTGGTCCATTCTATTTCTGGGATATTCTAATTCAGGTAAATGTATTTGCTTTGTAAGATCAACCCTTTGTGGAACTTACTAATTTTTAAGTAGTTTCTAAATACATATTTCCCCTGAATCTATGGACTGACTTGACAGCATCACTGTATTATCATTATTTTCTAGATGAAAAAACTGAGGACCTAAGTGAGGTCCTAACTGACCTAACTGAGGACCTAATTGACATAACTGAGGACCTAATTGACCTCCCTGATGGTTAACTCGTGTTCCTTTGTTTCTGCCAAGTTGAAGGTGGACTCTGGGAGTCTCTGTGTTTGAATCTTTTCTCTAGTCCAAGTTTAGAGAAGAAAGGAGTGGGGAGGTGAGTAAAACTATATGGTGTATGGAGAAAGAATCACACCATTACACCATCTTGTGATACTGGGCAATTCATGTTCCCTCTTTTGGTGTCAATTTCCTAACCTAAAAGGTAATTCCACTGGTCAGGAGAACACTCATGGTCTTTTCCAAAAATAATTCTTTAAAAAGTTTTATTTCTAAAGCCTTATAGAAAGGCTCTATCCTTCCACTATTGTCTAAAAGCTTTAGGGTGACCTCACAGTGGGCAAGGGTTTCTGAAGACAACAGTAGGTCCAATGGAATAAGATAAAATTTCCCCTATTCTTTCCATCTCACCCAGTGAGGCAGTACAGGTGGCCATGTATATGTTTTAGGAAAGATTCAATTTCTTGGAAATTTAAGCCTTTCCCTCAAGTTATCACTTTCTTTTCTCCATCCATTTATTTAACAAATACCTGTAAAGGCCCTACAATAATCCAGGCCCAAAGGGATCAAACTGTGAACAAGACAAGGTTCTTGCTTTCATGTAGCACATAAATAGATTTTTATAAATGGAGAGAGCAATGAAAAGTGTCAAACACCTGATCTGGTGTGAGAGCCCTTCCTTGAGAAGAAAACATTTAAGCTGAGGACTGAGAGATGTGTAGGAGGTAGGCAGGCAAAGAGGGGATGAGAACAAAATCCTGCATACAATGGCTGCAGTATGGAAAGTGAGGATAAGAGTTGGGGAATATGAGACAGAAGGGTTTGGTAGGGCCAGAGCAGGCAGGGACTGCAGCCATATCTTGGGTTTTTGTGCTTTATTGTGATGGCCTTGAGATGCTCTTGGGTGGGGGGTGGGACAGAAACAGATGACAAAATTATACTTTGACACAATGAAAATGGGTTAGAGCAAACCCATTAGGAGACTGCTGAAGTAATTTGGGGTAAAAAGATTAGAAATGGAAGTAGTAGATGGATTTGATAAATACTAGGGGATAAACCCATCTGTTCTTCCCACAAGTCAGATATGAGGTGATAGGTGGTATTAAGGATAACTCCCAGGAGTTTGTTCTGTCCTGGTCCTAAGTGGGTAGCATTTGATGGAGAGAACTCTGGAAGAGACCTGTTTCTTTGATAGCGGTGCTGATAGAGGATGGATCATGAATTAAATTACAGATGCCTCTGTTTCCTCAGAGTAAACGTGCCTCATGGTGGTGATGATAGGTAGCTAGAAAGATACATCTGGAATTCAGAAGAGAGTCTGGACTAGGAATTTATACTGGAGATTCATCTATTAAAAATGATACTTAACTTCACAATAGTGGTTGCTATGTCTATGGAGACAATATAAACTTAGAAGACAGAAGAACCTATGACCAAGGCTAGACATTCACATGTCAAGAACACAAACCAGCAAAGGAAGCAAAGAAGTTGGAGAAAAACAAACAGAGTGTTGTGTTACTGAAGCCAAGGAAAGAGTGTTCAAGGATGGTTATCCTCCCTTATAGCTAATTAAGACACTCCTTTGTGTTGTAAACTTAGTGCAGTAGTTTCTTTTGTTTTATCTATAAAATAATTTACATGTTCCTAGTTTAAGAGAATCTGTACATTTCTTTTATACCGCTAGCCCACTAGCTGTGACCTCACTTATCTTGGTCTAATTGAATTAATTAGACCAAGATAAGTGAGGTCACAGCTAGTGGGCTAATTATCACAAGCTTGGTGTGTGAAATCAATCTCCATTATGATAAATGTAGTTTACAACTTTAAGTGAATGAGTAGTTTTCTGTGGCAAACATTCTTTCATGTAGATTTCTATATGAAACATTTATTTTTCCAAGATTATGAGTCTATAGTCCTTGGAACTATTAAAATAATCTTTATCAGAGGAAATATCTGCTTTTCTTAGTAAATGATGATAAAGAACAGAGATTTAACTTATGCGCTATGTTAATTAGCAAGCAAATATTTGTTAACTTTTTCCTAACTTGTCCCCTATCTGTTATAACAAGCTCTAATGCTGAAGGCTTGTCTTTTCAAAACAGGTGTCAACAGTCTTGATACTTTTCAAATATCCTTAGCAATCTGATTGGTTTTGGCTCTAGGTGTTTCTCACCCAAGCGTAAGACAAAGAATATAGGCTAATGACTTTTCCTTCCATACCCTAAATATGATATGGAACAGGGGAGCTCAGTCCTTGGCTTGTGGTGATCATAACTGTTTAACCCAAAAGTGTGAACAAAAGTACTTAACCCAAAAGTACTTAAACCACATTCTTAATGGTCTCTCCCAAGGAGTTGGGCCAAAGAAGGGGTGGGGTGGGGTGGGCAATACATCCTCTGAAGCTTGTACTTATTCTTAATTGCTTCCTGTTCTTCACTCAAGGCCCTTTTTCAAAACTTGTCACTTCCCCTGTATTATGGTAACAGTTCTATTGGAATTGTCTGTTGGATTGCAGGTTTCTTAAGAAAAAGGGTCCTCTTTTATTCCCCTTTCTTTTCTAACCTGGATTGCTCATTTGTCTCAGAATGAAGCCTATGTGACAGGAACTGTGCTAAGTATTGGTTATATAAATATATGGAGTATACCTTCTGTCCAGAAATTAATGGTCAGAGATAGACGATTTATAACAAATGGCTACAGGCAGTGACAGAGACACACCCAGGTGATGGGAATGTATTTCCACTTGAACGTAGGTGAAATCATAGAAGGGTTGGAATTGGTCATGGCTGAAATGTCAAAAGATGAGGAGGTTTGGTAATAGAAAGTGTATTCCAAATAGAAGGAACAGCATGAATAAGAGCAAGAAGGTGAGGAAACCTTGTGTTTCCATCTAGGTATCTTCAGCCTTCAACCTTGCATCAGAGGTGCATCAGAGATCAAGGTTCTCAGCTGGCTTAGGACAAGAAAATGGAGACCAACCTAGGTAAGCAAGCTGCCACATTTATTAACGGAAGTATGACTGGCTATGGCTCTCTAATTTTGGATTAGAGAAAGTTCTGCACAATATTGAGATAGTCTGTTTACTACAGTTTATGATGATAAGGTGGCTGAATTTCAGTGTTCAGAGTGGTGAGATCTTAAGGATGGAGAGGGGCTAAGTCCTGAACACACGTACATGTTCAAGTTCACTGACTGTTCTAATTCGAGTATGGGCTGCAGAACAGAACAGTGGCCACAAAATTGGGAGAATCCAGTTCCCACTGTGGTTTTTGGTGGACTTATAGAAACATTAGGGTCCTTCCTGGGACTTAGCTGTCCCATGAGCAAGTGGCACTAGAACTATAGCTCTGCCTAACATCTAGTTGATGGCAAAAGCAAGACAAAGTGCTAGATAGTGTGTAGCAAGAAAGAGCTTCAAGGAAATGCAAGGCATTGTTGTTGTTATTCTTCTGGAAAAGTAAAATGCAGGTTTAGGCCAGAAATGTTAGAAATAGTCTTTGGGCTGGAATGCTTTATTGGCTAATACACATTTTTTTATGTGTAATAAATTTGAATTATTTTAAAAAGTTGGCTATTTCATGCAAAATTTGAACTTCTGAAAGAAGTCTAAAGTTCTGAATGCTGAGACTTGATCTTTTGTGGTGACAATGATAGGGAGAAGCTGAGACGGTCTTTCTCCCCATGTCTGTACTATACCTGGTTTACTGTAGTTGTGTGCCTGTCCCTATAGTTATTAGAGTTATGAGACTCCTGGGCTAATAAAGGATCACAGAACTTTTCAAAATGATCCCTATACACAATAAAATTTGTAAGGCAATAGGGCAGGAATTATCATTTTATAGGTGTCACAACTGAGGCCATGCCAGTTGGTGACTTTGCTACTCTGTGGCTGACCTGGGATCAGAGTCCCTCTTATTTGCCTTCTAATTCATTATTCTCTTTGATCTAATATCCTGTTTTTGAAACAATAGCCTCAAGTTTCCCAGCAGGAGTCAAACTCCTGACTCTTGGCTTAGGAAAATAGCTTATTAAGGGGGGGGACTTTTGTGGTTCTAGGAAGAAAACAATCCCTGTGCTCAAACCTTGGGAGAAGAGCCATGACCGGTGTGAGGAAACAGACGAGGTAGAAAGTGGGGTCTGAGAGCTGGCCTTCCATCACCCAGTATGGATTGGTGGGACTGTTGCAGATGACGCAGGTGGCATTGTAAACAAGGGATACCACAAAATACATCAGGAAACTGCCTATAAGAACAAGCCCGTGGATAATGGTCTGTGGAAGGAAAGGAAAAGTAAACACTGTTGAAACTATAGCTTAGATCAGGGGGCAGTGAAATCATGGCACAAACTTCCTTTTAAACTTTTTTTGAGGGGGAATGCAACACACACATAAAAAATTAAAAAAAAAAAAACAAACCATGCAGTTTAATGGAGCATTAGAAGCAAACACCCATATTGCTATCACCCAGAATTTGAACATACTTACTCAAAGAACCCCTAAAGATTCTGTCTCACCCTTGAATTTGGTGATACTTACAAGCCATTCTTTGTAGTTTCACTGCCTATATACTCTGTTTTTCAAATGTTAGATAAATAAAATCCTGTTTGGTGTGAGGAATCCATTTTTTCCACATGTGGCTGGCAGTTTATTCATGTTCAAAGCAATAGTGTTTCCTGTTGTCCGATCTTATTTTGTCCTGTTTTGTGTTCTTTTACCCATTCTTATCTTCTTTTAAACTTGATTATTTTGTACAATTTCATTTTCTCCCTTTACTGGTTTGAAAGCTGTGTACTCCATTTCTTTTCTTTCATTGATTACTCAATAAATGATAATAAGCAATCTTAACTTACCATAGTCTAAAGTATCTAACTACTTTTCCCTACTCCTGAATCATACAAGGGCTTTAGAGCACTTTAACTCTGTTTATCTCTCTCCTGACTTAAATCTTATAGCTACTGCATATTTTAATTCTATCCTCTTTTAAAGCAGACAAGTCATTATTATAGTTGAATGTCATGTCAGTGAAAACTGACAGTTCCTAAAATTCATGTTAAATTTCTACCCAAGAAAGTGTCTGGCTTCAAGTACTTTCAAAAGGGAAATACACTTTCTCATAATGATTTTAGTAACCGACTCCTTTTCTAAGAGCACCAGAAATTACAAGTAACTACCGGTTTAGCTGGTCTAGAAATGCTTTGGGTGGGTTAATAATGCTGAATGGGGAGTGAAAGGAAAAGGTCCCCTCTTTGAAAGCAGATGCATGCAGTGCTGTGAGAAGGTGGGCTGAGCAATCAAGGTACAGAATCTTTAGTTCTTCACCCATGTGATACACAGTCGAGGCCTGATTGTACTTTTCAGGACCTTTTGAAGGGCTAAAAAAATCTAGTGGTTAAGAGGGTGGTAGATAGTAGAATTCCTCTTGGAAAATGTCTTGAGCTAGTTTTCTTTTATTTAAATGTAATTAAATTAGAAAATATTTCAAGCAAACAGATAGTATACCTCATATACCCAACATCCAGCTTTATCAATTTCAACTATGTCATATTTCCTCCAGTTTTCACTAAAGAAATTTAACATATACAATTAAAATACCCATGATTCCCCTGCAAATGTTCTCTCTTCAGTCTCGAACATAAATTCAGTGGTTTACCATTCTTACGCATATTTTATACATACATGTTTATGAATGCGTCTTTAACTTTTTTCACTAGACCTAATGCTTTGGAATGCCATCTTTGTTGATGGATCTGGCTTTGGTTATTTATTTTAACTGTTCTATTATATGAATATGCCACAATTTATTTTCCCGTTGATGAACATTTAGGCTTTTTCCTTTTTTTTTTCTCCTGCTATTAGGAAAAATACTATAATAAGCATTCTTAAAGACACCTCTGTATATACACATGTAAGAGTATTTCCAGGGTGCATTATACTTAAAAGTGGAATTGTGTCCTAGCAGGTGAGTACTTAAACTTCACCAGCTATTTTTTTTTTTTTAAGATTTTATTTATTTATTTGACAGACAGAGATCACAAGCAGGCAGAGAGAGGAGGAAGCAGGCTTCCGGCAGAGTAGAGAGCCTGATACGGGGCTCCATCCCAGGCCCCCAAGATCATGACCTGAGCTGAAGGCAGAGGCTTTAACCCACTGAGCCACCCAGGGGCCCCAATCTCCAGCTATTTTCAAACTGCTCTCTAGAGTGGTGGCATCAGCTTATAGTTTGTGGTCTACTACCAGGATATGAAAGTTCCTTGGTTGGGCTTTCTCAGCTTTCACATACTTCCGAGTTAATTTGTCAATAATTTATTTAGAATTTTTATATCTCTGTTCATTTAGTCAGATTGGTCTATAATTTTCTTTCCTTGAACTTTCTGTGCCTATTTTTGGTATCAGGATTATTTTAGCCAATTTCTTTAATGGTGACTGATTTATTCAGGTTTGCTAAATGACCTTGGTTATGTTCTGGTAAATTTTTTTATTTTATTTTATTTTATTTTTATTATTATTATTTTTTTAAATCATTTTTTAAATTTATTTTCAACATAACAGTATTCATTGTTTTTGTACCACACCCAGTGCTCCATGCAATCTTTGCCCTCTCTAATACCCACCACCTGGTTCCCCCAACCTCCCACCCCCCCTTCAAACCCCTCAGATTGTTTTTCAGAGTCCATAGTCTCTCATTGTTCACCTCCCCTTCCAATTTCCCCCAACTCCCTTCTCCTAACTCCCCATGTCCTCCACGCTATTTGTTATGTTCTACAAATAAGTGAAACCATATGATAATTGACTCTCTCTGCTTGACTTATTTCACTCAGCATAATCTCTTCCAGTCCCATCCATGTTGTTACAAAAGTTGGGTATTCATCCTTTCTGATGGAGGCATAATACTCCATAGTGTATATGGACCACATCTTCCTTATCCATTCGTCCGTTGAAGGGCATCTTGGTTCTTCCCACAGCTTGACAACTGTGGCCATTGCTGCTATAAACATTGGGCTACAGATGGCCCTTCTTTTCACTACATCTGTATCTTTGGGGTAAATACCCAGTAGTGCAATTGCAGGGTCATAGGGAAGCTCTATTTTTAATTTCTTGAGGAATCTCCACACTGCTCTCCAAAGAGGCTGCACCAACTTGCATTCCCACCAACAGTGTAAGAGGGTTCCCCTTTCTCCACATCCTCTCCAACACACGTTGTTTCCTGTCTTGCTAATTTTGGCCATTCTAACTGGTGTAAGGTGATATCTCAATGTGGTTTTAATTTGAATCTCCCTGATGGCTAGTGATGATGAACATTTTTTCATATGTCTGATAGCCATTTATATGTCTTCACTGGAGAAGTGTCTGTTCATATCTTCTGCCCATTTTTTGATATGATTATCTGTTTTGTGTGTGTTGAGTTTGAGGAGTTCTTTATAGATCCTGGATATCAATCTTTTGTCTGTACTGTCATTTGCAAATATCTTCTCCCATTCCGTGGGTTGCCTCTTTGTTTTCTTGACTGTTTCCTTTGCTGTGCAGAAGCTTTTGATTTTGATTGAAGCAGTGATCAAAAACCTCCCAAAAAACAAGAGCCCAGGACCTGATGGATTCCCTGGGGAATTCTACCAAACTTTCAAAGAAGAAATAACACCTATTCTCCTGAAGCTGTTTCAAAAAATTGAAGCAGAAGGAAAACTTCCAGACTCTTTCTATGAAGCCAGCATTACCCTGATTCCCAAACCAGGCAAAGACCCTACCAAAAAGGAGAATTTCAGACCAATATCACTGATGAATATGGATGCTAAGATTCTCAACAAGATCCTAGCAAACAGGATCCAACAGTACATTAAAAAGATTATCCACCATGACCAGGTGGGATTCATTCCTGGGCTACAAGGATGGTTCAACGTTCGCAAATCAATGTGATAGAACAAATTAATAAGAGAAGAGA